CCTTCTCACTTAATGATAATAAGATTTATTAAGAACTTGTAAGGCATGGCTCAGGCCTGTAATCCCAGCGCTTTGGGAGGCCAAGGTGGGCAGATCACTTGAGTCCAGGAGTTCGAGACCAGCCTGGCCCACATGCAAAACCCTTTCTCTAATAAAAACACAAAATCACCCAGGTGTGATGGTGCCTACCTGTAAACCCAGCTGCTTGGAAGTCTGAGGCAGAAGAATAACCTGAATCTGGGAGGCGAGTGTTGCAGTGAGCCAAGATCATGCCACGGCACTCCAGCCTGGGTGAGAGCAAGACTCAGTTTTAAAACAAAACAAAAAAAGAGAAAAGAACTTGCAAGGTGCTTTAAGTACTTTTACCACATGTATTTGTTCCCATCCTTACAGTATTTTGTGCAAAAGTTACAGTATTGGTTTCAGTGAGGAGGAGGTTTTAAACTGTATTCTGATATACTCTGGAATTAACAGAAAATCACATTTTAATTTAAAAGAAATAGTGACACATCCATTCAAACAAGCAACCCTCACTGACACAAGCAAGAGACACATGACCCAGTTTCTCTGCATTAGATACCACCGCAATGTCTCGCAGGCCGCCAGCATTGTTTTATGCAAACCCTGGAATAAACACCGTATGCCTTGGAACTTCCGAACAATATGCTACTGATTAGAATACACATAGCTTTGCGTAGGCTTATTTTTTATTCAAGCCTGTGTGTGCCTCCTCCAATAAAGCTGTACAGGTGAGACTTTAACTTGACTCACAGCCTCAAGGTTCAATCACATGCCATGGAAGGCTCACGGGTCTAGGCTGGGTTCATGTTAGACTGTGGATGGGCAGTGGCAGTCAACATTCTTAATATCATATTATCTCATTATCAATTGTTGCAATGTCTATTATACATGTTGGGGCTTATCCACTTAATATTTATGAAGGGGAATAGATGCTAGGTGATGATAGTGATTCAACTTAAAAATAAAAGTATCTTCTTTTTTTCCATCTCAATCGGTTTAAAGCTCAAGATTACAAGAACACATCTATGTGAATCAGGATTTTCTTGATATTGGACTACCTAAACCAAAACCAGAAACATCTTGCATGCAGAAATGGACATAAAACTATAACTTATTCATAATCCTGATCTCAATATTTTTAGTTCATAAAGACAACCTCATTGTTCTCATTGACTGATGCTATAATAAGTACTCTGTAAATTCTAAAAGTAGATTTATACCAATAAAAACACTGCTTTGATCTGTTTCATATATTGGGGCTCTATGCAAGATTTTTATGTTAAAAAGGGGGTCTATGCTTAGAAAACCAGCACTATATCCTGCTGTCTGTTTCTTCTAGGAGTTTTCAGCCTCCCCTGCTATTAATGCAGCTTTTCACACAATATTTCTGGTCCTTTGAGTCTGTAAGCTTTCTCAGACATATTCTTCCTTTCAACTGAGGTGTTTTAATTAATTCATATATTTATTTTTAGATAGTTGTAGGGCAAGTAAGGTAGAAAGAAAGTGGGAGGAGGGGGATCACAAATATACAGACACTTTTCCCAGCCAACACGAACAAAGACGAAACACACTTCAGGCTGGAAAATAAGCAAGGCAACGGAGACGTGATTTCATAGGGAGCATAAGGCTCTGCTAGAGTGGTTTTCTGCTCCAGAAGCTTTGCAGCCTCATTTTATTTGGGATCTCTGGAGCGAAGGGAACTTTGTTTGGTTAGGAGATTGAAATCTGTCTTTGTATCTTTTCCATCTATCATTTGTTTGCACAGTCTCTTTACCTTCCCCACACCCAGAGCCTTTAGGTTGTATAATACTCAGGCATTTAAAGAAAAGGGTTTACATCTCTTAGGAATGTGCTAACATCTGCAAACCTCCTCAAGTAGTAATCCCTAAAAAGCAGACAAAATATCTAGGAGCATTTTTCTTACTTAAAATTTTTTTCAGGAGGAAGATCAAGAAAACATCATACTGTACTTGAGAGGGAATGATTCTGGAGTCAAAAGAAAGGAGACCCAGAAAGTCACATGCTGCCTGTACACCTGCAGAAGACATTATCACTATAAATGCACTGAATGAGATATATCAGCACAGCTGAATCATTAGCTTCAAAGAAATTAGCCCAGCTTTTCTCCCTCAACTTGGACTATTTATGGATGTCCAACAAACTTAGCAACAAAGGCTTACAAGGACTTCTCTAAAATATCCATGGTGAAGAGCCAAGTCCATAAAGGTCCAAGCTGGCCTCTCTATTATGGTTCTTTTTTTTTTTTTCCATATCCCCTCTGTTTGGTCTTGACCGTCTCATCTATAAAATGGACACGTGCCCTGTTGGCGTGCATCTTACTCCTTAAAGATCTTCAAAGTATGGTTGTAAAATCCTGGATGCTCTCCTTCATTCCATTTAGATCTATAGTTTCACAACATCAAGTATTTTATTTTTTTCCTCCTTTTCATTGTTGTTATGAGCCATGTAACAGGACTCATTGTTCCAGGAACAGGTATTTAGGAGGGAGAGATCTTTCTGGATACCCTTTCTTCTCAGTGGCTTATTGCTACTTGGCATACTTAAGTACAGTTTGCTAGCCAGGAGGAGTTTCTAGCTGTAGATCAGTTCTCTGCTCATTCCTGGTGCCAGGGAGGTGCCTGCCTTAAGGGGGTGGTTACTGTTATGATAATAAATGTGTGGATGTCTGAGTGACATCATTCCACTTTGGCACAGACAGGTATTTACTTGTCTAGAATGAACTACCATGGGTGAGCCAGACTGTCTGCCTCAGTCATCTCCAAAGGTTTTATTTATTTTAAAAATCTGCTAACACATCTGTGTGTATTATTATTATTATTATTATTCTGCATGTTTGTCATGTGCTATAATTACTTATGGAGCTTCTCGTGACATCTTAATTAACTAGAGAAGAAAAAAACGAAGATATAATTGTAGAGTTGTTCACAGGTTTTTCTATGGAATTTGTGGATCCAACTGTCACATGATATCAGTGCTTACGAATTTTTTGTTTGTTTGTTTGTTTAAAATGTTAACATTTCAACATGTATTGATTAATTCCTGTAAAATATAGAAAGTGCAATGTCACCAAACGTCCATTTCCTAGAATTCATTTTAGAATTCATGTGAAAATTTGGTAATAGTATTTCAGTTAATTATGGCATTTGAGATAAGATACTTATGGGAAAAGATTACATAAACATGCTTTGGGGTGATACATTAAAAAAACTACAATAATTAGAAGTATTGCCTTTACATTTCTAAAATCACATAAAATGATCACCTTTGCCATTTCAATAACTTTGGATACAGGGTATATTATTTTCTGCTCACTGGTAATCAAAACACATAAAACAGACTTGTAACAAATATTCAGAGTCGATTATTTTCATAAGCTAAACATTTCCAATACTTTAAGATTTGTGTTTGAGCATGCAGTACTGCAAAGTTGGCTACATAAAATTAAAACATCTTTTTGAGAGGAAGCTCAATAATCAGAGGCTTATTGCATTTAAGGATTTAACACTGGCTATATACAAAAGGGAAAGCATTTCAGTGAGAAATACTTCACATTACTAAGTTCTCTCCTTTAATATGGCAACATTCGGCAGCTTATGCTACTCTTTTATCCTCTGGTTCCCAGTGACAAACAATGCAGTAACAACGCCTCTGGTTTTAGTTCCTCTTGGATGACATTTATGAGAGAGAGAGAGACCTGATTCTTTAGCTGAAACTCGGCAGCCCAAGAAGTGCACCAACTGCTCCAAAGTATCCTTCATGTTCTAGAAACAATGCTTTCAGTTGACCTTTTGACCGATAATCCAGTGTATGTGCCAAAAGTTTCATTGAGAGGGTGTTGACATGTAAAGTTTCCAACAAAGACAACTCTGTTTATTTTCTCATTAACAGCACACACTCGTGCCACAGAACCAATGTTACTGGTGATAGTAACTAAAGTAGCTCTTGCCAGATGTTCTTTACCAAGAGATTCTCGCTTCTCCTTCTAAGTCATATTCCCAAAACTAGATGCTACAGCGCAACCTGGCAAACCAAATCTTTCATAACCTCCTCCATAAATATCACGGACCAGCTTGTCAGCTTGTGTGCTCTCACCTTTGGATGCCATTTCAAGAGCCTCTTCAAAACTTTCACAGCCAGTCAATAAACTGCATAAACTCAGAAAGGTACCCTCTCCAAGGCTCGTCCCAGTCGCTCGTTTACAGTTGTCTTTGGAATGGACTGCTAAAATGCTGACTCCTGAATGTTCACTACCGGCAGTGAATAGGGATCACCCAGGTTAAAAGGCATCTTTTGGCATCGCTCAGGCTCTGAGGCATTAGCAAAATAATAGAAATAATGGCACTCCGCTTGTCTATTGAAACGGACAGAGTCTATATACAGCAAGCCCTTTCCAAGGCAGTCAAGTTCATCCAATTTGTGCAGGTGGAGGTTTCCAACTGTGCGAAAATCTTTTTCAAACTTGTAAGCATCACCTCCTGTAGCACATAGCACCGTTTGCAGTGTTGAGAAGTTTTTATCTCTTCCCATTTGGATAAAAGTAGGCAGGTCCTGGGTTGGAAATCTGATGAAGTGCAAGTTCCCTCTTCGGCCAAAAAGTGTTAAATCTTTCCGTTCAAGATGTACATCCTGAATGCCGGTGGATCCATATGCTACATTAGAAGTCAGATATTTCCGAATACTTTTTAAACTCTCACCTTCGTCTTGTTCTTCCTCTGCTGTGATATCAAGAGGCTCAAAGTACGAAAGCTTTGCTAGAGTTCCCCCAAGGTCCAGGGGAAAGAGGGCTTCTTGGCATCTTTCATCTTCATGGCGTCGGCCTGAGGGGCAAGGGACGGCCTCGGGTCGGAAGCACCGAGAGCAGAGCTGGCGACTCGGGCGGCGGGGTGGCGAGGCCCGGCTGGTTCATGACCTCAGGCAGGGCGGGGTGGGCCTAGGGCGGGGCGGCGGCGCCTGCGGCGATGCCCGGCCCGGGGGGCGGCCCCCCACCCGGGTGAGGGGCGGTCCGGACCCAGCTAGCTGGGGAAGGCCGGCGGCCTAGCGGCTCCGAGGCCTCCCTGCAGCCGCTCCAAACAAAAGGCCCTGGTTCCGGTAGCCGCCACCGCCCACGAATTCTTTTGAAGTTGAGCAACGTATAAATTTTAGGTTCCTTGGTCACTGATCACACCTTTGTGCTGTCTTTTACCCTTGTTACGGTGTTTTAGTTTAATTGAAGGAATGAGTCAGCTCAGGCCTTTGATGCGATCACAGTCTATTTTGGGGGGCTTTCAGGGAGCATATTTAATACCTAAGTGAATTTCTAGGCCCTTAGTTCATGAAGCTTCTGTCTGGTTTTTCTATCCATTAATTAAAATGAGGTATTGAAGGGTCCAACTGTAACTATAGAACTGTGGGTTTATCCTTTCAATCCTGTTAATTTTTTCAGCTTTACTTAAGTATAATAGAGAAATAAAAATAGTACGTATTCAAGGTGTACGTGTGAGGTGTTTACACGCACATTCTGAAATAATTACCAAAATAAAGTCAATTAACAAGTTAATAACCTCACTTAATAGTTCCCGTTTTGTGTGCATGCATGGCCTAAGAAAACTCAACTCCAGGCCGGGCGCGGTGGCTCACGCTTGTAATCCCAGCACTTTTGGGAGGCTGAGGAGGGTGGATCATGAGCTGAGGAGATCGAGACCATCCTGGGTACTATGCAGAAACCCTGTCTCTACTAAAAATACAAAAAATTAGCCGGGCGTGGTGGTACGAGCCTGTTATACCAGCTACTCGGGAGGCTGAGGCAGGAGAATCTTTTGAATCTGGGAGGCGGAGGCAGCAGTGAGCCGAGATCGCACCACTGCACTCCAGTCTGGGCCACAGCGAGACTCCATCTCCGAAAAAAGTAAATCAAAAAAGAAAAGAAGAGAAAAGAAAAGAAAAAACTCAACTCCATCCTTGGTGACTGCAGAGTGCCCACTGCAGCTGCTCCAGGCTCCAGCACAGGAGGAGCGGGGCAGGGTGGGTGGCACCACCAGTGGGGCCGTCAGGCCTGGCGCGCACGCATTCCGGAGGCCCCCCAGACCATGCTCCGCCGCCTAGGACGCCGAAGCTGCAGTCGCCCTCTGTGCGTAGGCAGCAGCCGCCTGGCACCTCCCAAGCTCGCTGGCGATCCCAGCATCGCAGAACCAGGACAAGGTGTCCTGCTGGCTGCCGCCAAGCCAGGCATTCTGCCAAACAGCGGCTGCACCGGGGCGAGAACTGAGAACCTGCCGCTCAACCCCATCCCCGGGTGATTACCGAGTGCCCGTGCCAGCGGCCGCGATCTCCCTGCGGTAGAAGCGTGGGACCGGAGGCCCGGCCTGGGCGCCCTCAGGCTGGGCGCGCTGGCGATCCCGAGACCGCGCAGGCCATGCCCCTCCAGCCCTCCAGGGCGCCAAGCTGCAGCCACCCTCTGCGTACAGGCAGCAGCCTCCAGGCAAGCCCCGAGCCCGCCCGCACTCCCAACATCTCAGAACCCGGGCCAGATGAACCAGTGGCTGCGGCCAAGCCAGGCGGTCTGCCGTGCAGCGGCTGCACAGGAACGGGAGCCGGCCCTCAGCCCCACCCGGGCTGGCTGCACAGGGCGCCTGGCCAGGAGTCCCGAGCTCCCGCAGAGGAGGAGCCGGGCGGGGCAGGGCCTGGAGGGCTCTCCGGCCCGGTGCACTCGCGAGCCGGAGGCCGCCCGGGCCGTGCTCCGCCGCCTGGGCGCCCGGGCTGCAGCCGCTCTCGGCCCGCTCCCGGCAGCCGCCGGGCACCTCCCAAGCTCGCCGGCGCTCCCAGCCTCGCCGAACAGGGGCCAGATGTCGCCGTGGCTGCGGCCCAAACCAGGAGGTCTGCGCGGCGGCCCTGAGCCCCATCCCCGGCAGCTGAGAGGCCCCTGCCCGGACCTCCCTTCGGAGGCGGAGCGGGGCGGCGGCCACGGCAGGGGGCCCTGGGGTCGGCGGGCTGCGCACCTGCGATTCCGGGGAGGCCGCGGCGAGCCCAGGAGAGCCCGGAAGCCGCTGGCCCCGCGCGGGAGCCGCGGCCGCCCCCTGCCGGGCGCGCGGGCCGCGGAGCGGCTTCCGGAGCCCCGCGCGCGCCCAACGGCTCCCCGGGCTCACTGGCTGCGAGCGGTCGGCGGCCGCGGGGGGCCCGGCTGGATCGCGGACTCCGAGCTCCGTCGCGGCTCTGGGCGCGGGTTTGGGGCCGGGTGCGGGCGGAGCGGCCTCCAGGGGCCGCGGCGGCGCAGGAGCGGGCGGCGGGCGGCTGCGAAGACGGCGACGTCGCCGCCATGAGGAAGCTCTTCAGCTGCGAGGGGCGCCCGGGCCGCACGGCGCTGGGCGCCTCCGGGCACGACGAGTACGCGGGTCCCGGGTACCACGTCCGGGACCGCGAGCTGCGGAGGGTCCACAGGGCGGCGGCCCGGGGCGACGCCGCGGAGGTGGAGCGCTGCCTGCGGCGCCGGAGCCGGGACGTGGACGCCCGCGACAGGCAGGGCAGGTAGCGAGCGGGGCTGGGCCGGGCTGCGAGGGGCCCCGGTCCCCGCCGCTCTCCGTCCCGGGCCGCGGCCCCGTCTCCCCGCGCTGCAGACCGCTGCCCGCAGCACTCGGCGGAGAGTTGGAGGGACTCAGCTCCCCAAGTGAGGCACCTGCTGCTGGCCCACACGGTGGGAAGGCGCCCAGTGAGAACGCCTCCCCGTGCCAAAAACACCGTGAGCCACTGTCAGCAGGTGCAAAGTCCTCAGAGGGGAACCCTGTGTCCCTTTTACACCTGAATCTACCTGTGTAGAGAGGTTCTTCCCTGGGGCTTCTTAGAGGGAAGCGTGGAAGTGGCAGGTGGGTTCCTTGGTGCCTAGAACTGCCCTAGACCTGCTGTGTATGTCGTATTCCACGTAATGTCAGGCCTCACAGATTGTGTGATACCCTATTATTTTCTATATTAATGAGATAATTTTTAAAATGCTACCAATGGTTATAAAAAAATAAATGCCATTCCAATATCAGATATGTTAAAATGTGCCATGATCTTTAAACTGTCCTTCAAAATAGGAATAATTGTAGCATCTTACTTAATGACAATGTTTTTGTTAAGTAGTAGTAATAGTGATAATTATGACATCTGGCTGGGTGCAGTGGCTCACACCCTTCATTCCAGCGCTTTGGAAGGCTGAGGTGGGAGGTTCCCTTGACGCCAGGAGTTTGAGACCAGCCTGGGCAGCAAAGTGAAATCCCTACTCTACAAAAAATTTGTTTTAAATTAGCCGAGTATGCCGGTGCACTCCTGTGGTCCCAGCTACTCAGGAGGCTGGGGCAGGAGCATTGCTTGAGCCTTGGAGTTCCAGGCTGCAGTGAGGTATAAATACACCATTGCACTGCAGCCTGGGCAATAGAGTGAGAACCTGTCTCAAAAAACAAAAATCTAACACTTATTGAGTTGTTACTTGTTCTAGAAACGGTTCTAAATACTTTACGTAGATGCTCATTTAAGCATCACAGTGCTGTCCCTATGTGCTAGCTGCTCTTGTCATCTTTATTTTATTAATGAGGAAATTGAGGTACAGAAAGGCTAAGCTGGTAAGTGACAGAGTTCAAAGTAGAAGAACTTAAGCCCTAGTGGAACCGAATCCAAAGACCAAGCTCTTTCTATCCAAATAGACTGCTGTTTCATTAAGGTAGTAAGCAGCAATAGCTAATAACTACCGTACTTTCTTCCAAAGAAACTTATTTGTTTTGAAGGCAGAGGAATAACATGCTATTCAGTGTTTACAATCTCATGAATCATTGTAGGTTTTGAGTTACTGCACTACAGTTTCCTGAAAACCCCTCTCACTCTCACAGGACTCCTCTGCATTTGGCCTGTGCACTTGGCCATGTGGAAGTGGTCACTCTGTTGGTAAGCAGAAAGTGCCAGATTGACATCGATGACAGACTAAACAGGACCCCGTTAATGAAGGTATATAGTAGTCAACTCTTTCAGCATGGAATGGATTTGATTTAAATACATGTAAATAAAATGAATTTATCTCATTTAAATATGACTAGTTGGTGAAACCTGTGAATATGTGTATTGAATTCTTAGAAATTATAGTCTAATTTTTTATCTAACACGGATAGGCTGTACATGGTCAGGAGGAGGCTTGTTCCATTATTCTGCTGGAGCATGGCGCCGATCCAAACATTCAAGATGTCTACGGCAACACTGCTCTTCATTATGCTGTATATAATAGCGTGACTTCACTGGCAGAAAAACTGCTCTCCTACCAAGCAAATATTGAAGCAATAAACAAGGTATCGATCAATCAACTTTCTTTTCAAAATATTTGTTTTAGCATAGACATAGGTAAGGGTCCATTTTTCATGTTTGGAAGCTCAAGCCTTCCTTGAATGAAAATATTTTTAAATAACTTAATTGTCTAAGATTTTACTTTAAACATTGATACTTTAAAAGAAACGTTAGAGCACAGCTTTTTTAGTGCACTTATGAGAAATCTTTGTGAATCTGTTCAAGGTAAAACTTTTTCTTTTCAAATATTTGTTTCCTACCACAGGTTTGGTTTGGTTTTGTTTTGTTTTGTTTTGTTTTTTACCCTAATTAGTGTAACAAAAACCACACAACACAGGGAAAAAAAAATCTACCCTGGAAATAAACTTTGTCCTAACATTTAAAAAAAAAAACTATATCGACTTGCAGTAAATGGAAATCTTGCTGCTGATAACAATTTTCTTTAAAAGACTGATGTATCTTTCAGTGGCAAGGCTTAAGAGGTAAAAATGAGGAGGGGAAAGGAGAACAATCAGATAATATGCAGGTCGCTTGGAAATTAGGTAATGAGGGAAAACTGTAAAGACGAGGTTTTGTTTTTTGGTTGTTTTTCCAGCTTATGTATTGAGACAAAATGCTCTTCAGCTCTGGGGTAATCATTTTTGGTTTGGTAAAGAGAGCAATTGAAACTTGCCTAATTTTTAGAGAACTCTGAGGAAACCAGATTGGTAGGGAATAGGTGGCGACAAAGTGAGAAACACTTCAGCAAAGGGTAGAACATGTTAGGAACCGACTTATTACCCATCCTGGCAGAAGCAGCCACTTAGGTAAGAATCTAAAGTCTCCTCTCAAATCTAGACTGTATTTGTGGGAAGGTGGGAGTTAAGGAGCTTGTAAATAGCAAAATCAAGTGGGATTTTGAGTTTGCTTGTCCCTGTTCTACCCATACCCAGGAAAATTGACTAGAGTTTTAATAAGTTACTCTTACTCTTTTTCTCTTTTTGGCCACATCCCAAACTGATAACGGGTAGTGGCTGTGTGGATGAGTGATGAAACTCAAACGATTGTCTGCTGCACTAATTCTCAGCTAGAATGGTGCCTTACAGTGACCTGGGGAAATTTTGTAAAGAATCTCCAAGTGCAGGCTTTCCCTTGAAGATTTTGACATGACAGATCTAATAAGGCCTGAACATGTATGGTTAAAAATATTTTTTGAAGCCATGCACAGTGGTATGTTCCCCGTCCCACTTACTTCAGAGGCTGAGGTGAGAGGATTGCTTGACACTAGGGTTTTGAGTCCAGCCTGAGCAACGTAGAGAGACTCTTGTTTCTAACAACAGCAGAAAAAAAAAAAAAACCTCTAGGTTTGAAAACACTCCTGGTTAAGAAGCACAGAATAGGTGAGTGCAGTATGTAAGTTCCCACATCTCAAAAGCATAAGAAATCTCCAAAAGAGTTGGCATTTGATAGGCACTACTTCCTTCAAAGTTCTCCTTTCCAATATTAGCCTGACTCACCTGTCTCTCTCTGTGTCTGTGACTGGGAAGTGAAAGGAAGCAGTATTGGTAATGTCTCTCAGCTTACAGAATAACACCTTTTCCTTCTCATGGTGAAGCATTCGCTACTATTCAGAGAGTCTTTAGGAATTTGCTTGTAGGTAACCTTTGAATAAGCAGAGGCTGACCCTTTCACATTTTCATGTTCCTTTGTCAACATTCAGGTGATTATATCTCAACAAATGTTCATTACAAGTGAGGTTTTCTTTTTTTAATTAGATTAGTAGCAAATACTGAACCTTTTTATTTCTCAGTGGAAGTTGTATTATGGGCTATCTCAGTATGTCTGTTAAGTTTGTAGAGTTTTGGCATAATCAGGATGTCAGTTTTAGACACTGAAATCCATGAAGTCAGTGAGAATACAGTAGGAATTCTTTTAATAATTTATTTTGGAAGTGCTATGAACTAATTATTTGGTTAACAATCTGGGAAAATGATATGCAAAGAGATTGTAAATGAATACATGTTGGAAAAACTCTCGAGGTGTGTATTATGAGTCTTAACGGCAATTTGTATTATATAGACATATACATAAATACATATCACGGGCCTGATTTTTTCAACCTGAACTCTAACCCTAGAGAAAGAAAAAATTACAGCAGCAAATACTTGGTTTATACACAACCATTTAGTAACACATTCGTACCAAATACAAAAACACAAGGGCTATAGTCTAAATGTGGCACATAGATTTGTTTTTTTAACTCCTTAAATTGAGTCAACATGTAAAATTTAGGAGACTCCTGAAGAAATCTGGACTTCAGACTTGTCTTAAGAAACAAATCTGGTGTCCCTTGAGCCCTGTCACTGTCTGGTCCGCTGTGTAGAGGCTGCCCCTGTGCAGGAGGCACATATTCTCTAGTTTGCTACCATGCCCACCGAAGTCCTTCGCTTACTTAGGTAACCTCCTTTGTCCCTAGAAGTATTTGAGTTCACAACTCCTGTTTTATAGTATATTTTCATAAAGATTTCAAGTTTTTCAAGACAGTGTATATTGGTTTATAATATATAATTCATAGTTTATATAAATCCCTCAATTATGGGGTTGAATTTTAGAATTCAGAAGGTTTTTTTTCAACTTTTTCTCTATATATGCCACAAATAGTCACCTGCTCATAAGAATGCCTAAAAGCCTTTTTAGATTATTCCTGGTGAGAGTTGGATAGTTTATGAATATTCCAGACATTATATATTTCTTTCCAGCAATGTCCCTTAAAATACAAGTGACTTATTGGCTTTTATTATGCCAGAAATAAGCCATATACATCAGTATTTGAACTTTTATTGATAAGCCATTGTATTTTTATTTCTGATTGATGTTTTGCCTAAAGTAAAAGAAATAATAATGTTAAATAGCAGTGTAAATGGAAACCAATACAAACAGATTTTAAAAGTTAAAAAGTAAAGTTGCATTAGGGTTCCAGAATTATCACTATAATTAAGAATAAATTTTTTTTTTTGAGACGGAATTTGCTCTTGTTGTCCAGGCTAGAGTGCAATGGCATGATCTCAGCTCACTGCAACCTCCACCTCCCAGGTTCAAGTGATTCTCCTGCCTCAGCCTCTGAAGTAGCTGGGACTACAGGCATGTGCCATTATGCCCAGCTAATTTTTGTATTTTTGGTAGAGACATGGTTTCACCATGTTGGCCAGCTGGTCTCGAACTCCTGACCTCAGGTGATCCACCCACCTTGGCCTCCCAAAATGCTGGGATTGCAGGCATGAGCCACTGCACCCAGACTTATTTTCAAAAATTTTTAACCTGCTTCTCTTACACAGAACATGCTGAGCTTTTTGTCAGTTAAGATAAAAATCTATCCTCTTGTATTAGGAGAAAACTCATGAACTGTTTAATAATAAGGAAGATAAGTACATTTGAAGCCAATATCTCTTAATTCAGAGCTTATTTCTTTAGTGATCCATTCAGATCAGGAGGGCCTGACATTGGCATCTGGGATCCCGACACCATTGGTAGAAGTGAATTGAGCAAGTGTGTGCCACCCAGAGGAACCTCAGCCTGTTTGGGGAAGCTCTGGCAACTGTATTCCTGAAAGTCTAGTTCCTAAAATGTTAATGTTTGCCACAGAAGGTATTGTCAGAGTGGGATTAGGCAAAGTTCAAGAGATTTCCTGATTCTTGGACATACAATACAGTTTTGTAATACTTCTGAAATACAGATGATCATGGACTCTTTCTGTTGGGTACAGTACTTCTGGTAAAATAAATATTCTTTGGAATATAGTTTAAGAAACACTGCTCTAGAGATAATGATTTAGATCATTAATTTATTTTTAAAACTTAAAGTATTTGCTACCACATCTTAGGTTTTAGGGTTTCAGAGAGAAAAGATACAGCCCTTGCCCTCAAGAAGCTCTTAGGTTTCATTGGGAAACAATATAGTGTGCTAAATGCTGGGAGAGAAGCAATGATTGATGGGACTGGTAAATAAAGTGAGTTTTGGTGATGACCAAAGTTAATGCCGGGAAGCGGAAAGGGGTGTTTGCAAGGCAGTGTGTGGGAAGGCGCAGAGGAGGGAGAGGGACGGGACTGCTTTGCATTTACCTTCTTTCTCTGTTGTATGTTTAAGTTCATAGCATTTATAGATGATTTTTAGTTCAGTTGAGAAATAATGTAATTCTGTGAATTATCAATTACTTTGCTTTCTTGCAGGAGGGAAACACGCCGCTTTTATTTGCTATAACTTGCAAGAGGCAGCAAATGGTGACGTTTTTAGTGAACAACCAGGCAAATGTCCACACTGTTGACAATTTCAGAAGGTACAGTCATTTGTTTTTTGTTTTTGTTTTTAATAAAAAGCCTAGTGTTTGTTCTAGAGGGTAACAGTCACACAAGTGAGAAATATTAATAAAAAAGATTAACTTGTAATTGTTGGCATACAGTGAAAAATAACAAGAGTAATCAGGTAGAAAAGCAATTATTTGGACTGAGCAACATGAAAAACAGTATATAGTAGGATTCGTCTTCTCTGATAGACTCTTATCTTTAATCTGATGGTTTTGGTCCTGTAATCTTATATTAGCTAATGGGGTTTTCTAGTTTATAATTCTATAAAGTGCAGACTTTAACTTTTAGTTTACAACTACTGCTATTACCAGTATCATTATTATCATAATTGGTTTCAGCCTGCTGATGGCTCTTATTTGTCTGACCCCTTGCTGACTTTGAATTACAATATATCAGACTAGGAAATCAATGGGGAAATTTTCCTTTAAATCTTTGCCTAAGATAAGTGACCTCAGCATAGTTTCTTGGCCAGTCAAAGGACAATAAGTTAGCAACTTGTATTATGTTATACCCCAGGGTCGTCCCTGTCTTTAAGCCTTGGTGGCAATTTACAAAGATGAACACTTGAGCACCCAAGATGCTGATAGACATAAGCTAGAGCATGTAAGCTGTTACTGTGTCTGCACTGACAGGCAAGATAGTAAATTGGTAAAGTGTATCAAATTTGCTGATTAAATACCTTTATTCCAGTTCTTGAGTGGAATTATTTCTTTATTATTTCAGAACAGCCCTCATGCTTGCCGTGCATCATAACTTGCCAAGTATTGTCAACCTTCTCCTTGAAGAAAATGTTAGTGTCTTTTCTCAGGATATGTTTGGACAAACGGCAGAAGATTATGCTGTTTGTTGTGATTTGGTAAGGTAAGTGCTTGCCTTAAAAGACCAGTTAATTCTACATTAAGGTTCAAAATAATGACAAATATTGCATCTTACACATTAGATGACAGTTCATAGTTTGGTTGAGGTCGTTTGGAATGGCAATGAGTTAGTCCACTTTTTAGCCAGAAATCAAACAGAAAGCTAGACTAGTTAGAAGTAGCAGTGAGTGCAGGATTCTTTTAGGACTTTTAAAGGTCTTTATCCCTAGAGATCTGAATGCCGTTCATTTTATTCCAAGGATAACCTTTATATGTGAGATATAAATAATATCACATCTTTTCCTTCTTTCTTTCCTTTTTTCTTTTCTTTTCTTTGACAAGGTCTCACTATGTCGTTCATGTTCCTGAGCTCAAGTAATTCTCCTGCCTTCCCCTCCCAAACTGCCAGCTGCCATGCCTGGGCTGACTTTTCTAATTAATTATTGGGTCTTGAAATGTCCAGTTTAGCAGAAAATCTTGTATTGTTCCCTGGGGCTATGCCCTATGCCTTCCTCCTTTGAATTTTTCAGAAAGCTAAGGGATTCCCTAAGTCCAAGGAAGATAATCTTGCTTTACAAGTCAGAAGAGGGGAAAAGGCCATTCTAATCATTCTGTTGTTTCCATTGATTCACTTGCTGTATTGCTACTGCCATTGTAACTGGTCCTGCAATCTGGTAACGATTGACCTTTGCCACCAGATGCCTTTACTGATTCAGATCCCTGAGTCTTCATGGTGACTCACACACAGAGTTGACAGCGACAGTGTTTTTCAGTTCATGTACATATGCTCAGCCATTGTTCCCAGCACCCTGCTCTGGCAGCAAGGACTCCTGGCTTTCAACACACACATAGTGAGTCAACTGACCCTCCCCCAACACTAAAAACCTTATGTGTAGCCCACCTCTTAGCTAGGCTTAGCCTAGACCTTCATGGTAAGTTATCCTTTGAGACCTGTGTTCATCTTTTCTCTAGCAAATATGAGATGGGTTTGTACTCACCAGTCAGGAATTGTCAAATAATGTTTCAGAAAGAGATCAGAGTTCCTTCTCCCTTTTGTCATCACATCTGTACCTTAGGGCTTTTTTATGTTCTGTGTAGCAGCTTCTGTTAGATAGCAGAAGGTTCCACATTATCCTTCAATTGAGTAGTGGGTATCAAACTTGCAGTTGGCCCCTCAAGTGATCTGTTTCCATAATAATGAAAGTCTCTCAGGCTACTTGCATCTATACCTCAAATGTTAAAAATATTTTAAAATTCTACCTCACAGGAAGTCATTCAACAGAATTCTCTGTATCTAAAGCAGGTAATTTGAATTTAACAGAGTTGAGCCTCATCCATGACTCATGAGTAGCCATGTATAAAACAGGGCTTTATAGTTGTTTCAGCAGCACAGATTCTAAAATTAGATCAATGCAGAACAGAGAAGCATGCCTGCTGCCTAAGGATGACACACAAATTCATAAAGCATTCCATATTTGGTACAGCCCTTAGAAGGTCATTTAACTGTTTGTTAACTAGCTCGAAGGAAACAGTGTGAGTCAAACCAAAACAGGAGACACCCCATGTTGAAATTGCTTTTGTTATCATTATATCCTGTGAGGTGATCTGTGAAATGAGAACAGAGCTGAGTAACATATGGGATGTTACATGCAAATATGTTGTTAGCACGTGACTTGGAAATGAGGAAACATCAACGTGCACCTCTTTCATGGAAATGAGAAACAATACGAGCAGGGTTTTGCCTTGTATGTCAGTTGGAGAGGACCAAGAAGATGCAGCCTTCTAACAGATCTGCTGGCTCAGAGTTTGAGGAGGTAGAGCAGGAATGGTAGTTGTCCAAGCCAGGTTTTGACCTCTATTAATTTTCTGGCCTTGTTGTGATTGATGAGCTCAGTAATAGGGGATTATTAGGTAATCTGTTTTAATGAGATAATAGTATATTTACATATAAATTTAGTTACAAGTTATAAATTAGCTAAAATGCTCTGAACTACAAGCCACGAGGAGTAGAACTAATTAACCAAAATTAGCACGTGGTAACATTTTCTGAAAACTGTGACATTAAAATATTAGAACCTGCGAGAAAATACCCATCAGGTTTTATTTGAGATTCCTAAACTGTTTCAGCAATGCAGTTCGAGAATAAATTTTTCAGTTGCTTTACTATTTTTCTGAGCATTTAAACATGTTATCTCATCACATTCTCCTGGCAACCTAGAAAAGTAAGGTAATGAAATCCTTGTTTTTTAGAAGAAGCCATGGAGCCTAAGAGAAGCAACCAGTCTGAAAACAAAATGTCTATTGGTGACGGAGTAAGGACTTATGAGTGCAGGACACTTTCCAGGCTCTTAAGCTGACTAGAATTTATTTACTGAGCTATGCTTCTCTCAGAGAATGAGTACTTCATGTTTTTATTCTTTAATTAGAAGCCTAATAAGTTTATAGAGCTTCAAATTTTAAAGTGTATGGGACATTAGAGTTCTGATATTAGCTCTGATATTGTCTGAAATGCTTTAAGAATTTAATACGTTTGATAAATATTTTTCATGTCGCTATTAAAATAGTAATTTGTTTATGACATTCATTATGCATAGGATTCAACAACAAATTTTGGAACATAAAAACAAGAAATTAAAAAATCTTCAAGATGACAATCGAGGTAAGACTTCTTGATAGTAAATTTCTCAAAAATGTCTAATATGGGTGTGGTTGGGAATGGGGTGAAGCGGGCTTATAGTTATTATTTATTACGTTCATTATGTGTCAGAGAAGGCAAGCTTAGGAAAGACTTAGTTGTTGTTTTACCTGTGTTTAGAAACAAGTTCAGTAAAAGGCTTTTTAACGTATAGAAATGAGTAGATCTTATCCTGTAGGCCGGAGAGAATTCTCAGGTAGAATGCTTTTCTTCACGTGTCTTTTCAATTGGGAGAAAACTCAGAAGCATGCAGGGGGCTTCCTTTAACATCCTATGGGCTGGGTCACACTACATGCCCATCCCTGAACCAGGCACTGGAAAAGCAAATGTAATGATATGATGAGCTTAGAATAATCCTTTCTCTTTTGAAGCTGGGGAGGGGTATTGGAATGATAAATATCCAAATAGATTTGTGTTTCTCCAGCAAGAAACAATAAAGAACTACTCTTGGGTAGGGAGCCAGTGGTGTTGGCTGTAGAATTTCATTGGAAAATTGTGAGCAGGGGAGGCATTAGATTTGAGAATTAGGGTGTTCTGTTCATGGTATAAAGCAGAAATTGGCAAGCTGCTTCTGTAAAGGGCTAAGTAGGAAATATTTTAGGCAATGCAGTCTGTCTGTCTGTCTGTCTCTCTCTCTCTCTCTCTCACTCTCTCTCTCTCTCTCTGTCTCTCTCTCTCTCTCTGTCTCTCTCTTTCTTTCTTTCTTTCTCTCAAATGATTTCAGTAGCTGAAGACCATGTGATCTCTTGTAGCTACTCAACCCTGCCATTGTAGTATGAAAGCAGTTATAGGTAGTATGTTAGTGAATAGGCATGACTATACTCTCATAAAACTTCATTGAGAAAAAAACATATAGTAGGTAGGATTTGGCCTGTGGTCTCTAGGTTGCTGACCCTTATGTAGAGGACAGGTGGAGGATAGATGTCACCTGAGCGTATAGTTGTTGTTTACTAGGTATTTATTATGTTCATTAGATGCCATGCACTTTTAAACTTGTGCTGACTAGTGCAAACTTCTAAAAAGTGTGTGGGATTTAGGGTAAGCATGCAGAGTGAGTAAAACTCTGCCAGGTAAGGAGGCAGAAGGATGATGTTTTCCAGAAAGAATATCTAACAAGCTTGCATGTGTGACAGAAACAGCAGCTACAAAGCCTACACATTTCAAAAAAATGAAGAAGGTACAAACCCTAAGACACTTGAATGTCTCTACTCTTAATTTCGTAGAGTCAGAGACAAGAGAAGCTTCAGCTATAGTTAATGCTGTAGTTTCCTTGTCACAAATCCATGAAGTACATGAGTCTATTACAAGATTTTCACCTATCCATGATACAATAAAATGATGAAGCTCCAGTTGATTTATTTGAAAATATTGGTGTTGCTGGGCATGGTGGCTCCTGCCTGTAATACCAGCAGTGTTGGAGGCTGAGATAGAAGGATATCTTGGGGTCAGAAGGTCCACCAGCCTGGGCAACCCCGTGTCTATCTTTTTTTTAGAAAATGTAGCTGGGTTTGGTGTTCTGCACCTTAATCCCAGCTACTTGAGAGGCTGAAGCAGGAGAGTTGCTTGAGCCTAGAAGTTTGAGGCTGCAGTTAGCTATGACAGCAACATTATACTGAAGGCTGGGTAGCAGAGCGAGACCCCATCTCTAATAAAAATCAAATCAGATAAGATAAAATACAATGTCGGTCTTTGGTTTTGGAATTATGCTTTTAAAATTTGTTGTTTTTGTTTTTTAATTTAAGAAGTAACAATCATAGTTGGTTTATACAAGGCTTTCAGGAACTGACTTCTGCCCAAATCTCCATCTGCAGCTTTTTCTCTGACTGCCCTTTTATTTGGCATTACTGAGCTGCTGGCAATGCCTCTGTCACCATCCCACTGAGGCAGACAAATACATACACTCTGGGAGGCTTCTCTCCCTCTCTTGCCACTGCCTGGCATCTGCTACCTTTCCTGCCCTCTGCCTCTTTTAATCTAGTGAACCTCACTCTAAGTCTCAGCTCAGGCTCAGGTGTGATCTCTAGAAAAGCTATCTCTGACGGCTTTTATTTCCATTCTTTAAACCCCAGTGTTTACCACTCAGCAGGGAGCCCCAAGGAAGGAGACACCTGTGTATGTGGACAAAGACAGCCAGATTTGAGGAGGACTTGACATAGCATTCTGAGCCTTTTTCTTTTTCTGTTTTTGGAGACAGGTTCTTACTCTGTCACCAAGGGTGGAGTGCGGTGGCGTGATCGAGACTCACTGCAAACTCAAACTCCTGGGCTTAAGCAATCCTCTCACCTCACCCTTTTGAGTAGCTGGGACTAGAGGCACACACCACCATGCGTGGCAAATTTTCTGTAGAGTCAGGGAAACTGACTCACTATAATCTCCAGGCTTATCTTAAACTCTCAGTGCCGGGGCCTTCCAAAGTGCCGGGATTACAGGTGTGAGCTGCTATTCCCAACCTACATTCGGAGTCTTCAATAATGAAAATAAATATGTCAGAATAGTAGAGGAAAACATTTCAGAAGTTAAAAACAGGGTGTATCCTAATAAAGATATAAATGGTAACAATAATTTTGAAAATATTAGTAAATACCAACTAGCTTAACATGTTGTTCAAAAGATACTATTACGAAACAGAGAATAGTAAAATGTTCACTTTATATGTTTTCACTGTATTTTAAACTTTTGTTTCCAGCAGTTTTGTTTATTTATGTTGGGTGGAACAATTTGTGGGTGACCCTAAGATTTTTGCATGGCTCGAACCTGCTGATATCTAGTGTCTCTTTAAGTGGTTTGTTGAAGTTTTAGATAATTAGAAGTGTTACTTAAAGATACAAATATTCCGGTAAACATTAAGCTTAATGTAAACTCCCAATTTATAAAAGTATACGTTTTTGTTTTGTTTTGGTTTTTGGTTTTTGGTTTTTTTTTCTGAGACAGAGTTTCACTCTTGTGACCCAGGCTGGAGTGCAATGGCGGATCTCGGCTCACTGCAACCTCCGCTTCCTGGGTTCAGGCAATTCTCCTGCCTCAGCCTCCTGAGTAGCTGGGATTACAGGCACACGCCACCATGCCCAGCTAATTTTTTGTATTTTTAGTAGAGACGGGGTTTCACCATGTTGACTACGATGGTCTCGATCTCTTGACGTCATGATCCACCTGCCTTGGCCTCCCAAAGTGCTGGGATTACAGGCGTGAACCACTGCGCCCAGCGAAGTATATGTTATTATGTGTCCATTTTTATAAAAGTTATAGTCTTTAATGGTTCTAAGGCATTCATTCTAACTAAACATATGGATTTTTCAGTAGAACATGACTTAAAAGTGGCTTCAGAGGAAACAGAAGAAAGGCTCAAGAGAAGTCAGAATATACAGCCACAGGTATATAACAACTTAAATTTAAATTTTCTGAATTAATATTGGTTTGTTTTTCTTTAATAACATAGCAGTCCAAATGAAGGACCTTTTTGACTATCCTTTTAGAATCCAACAGATCATAATTTCATATTTAATTTGAAAACATTTTAATCAGTTATAAAATCTGAAATATTCTTTCAGTCTGTAGTAACTCATAGCAATTTTTACCCTTGGAATTGAGACCAGAATTTTCCAGAAGCCTCTTTGCTCTTTTATTTTTAGAACCTTCTTCATGATAAAGAAGGTAACATAGAAAACTGAGTTGTATTACTATGCAAGAGAAATTAGGAACAATTGAGCAGTGTTGGTCACTGAGTTCAACTCATGTCAGAGGAGTCAGCACTGCCAGCAGTTCAGGCTTGGCAGGTCTTCTGTGTCGCCGGCCACCAGGGCCGAGGTTAAAGATTTCTTCTGTTTTTCGATCTTTGGTTGCCTTCAGCGTCTACGTCCAGGGAGAGAATAGGGTCATAAAATCAACCCAACTGCCCATTAAGAGAATCATGCCTTCCAGAATGGGACCTTTGGTGTCAGGGTACAAACTATAACTGTCTTATTTTAGTATAAATAGTAAATATTACTAAAATTGTTTAATGCACTGTCACTAGTGGAACTTAGAATACATTAGAACTGCATATAAGCAGATAATCTACCTAGATACATAACTCTATCATATTACAAATCAAATCACTTAGAAGAATGTAGACATTGTCTTCTCTTTCTAATTGGTGTTCATTTTTGCTTCTAATAACTTAGCATTTGCCTACTCTTCAGGTAATCTTTAGAAACATAAATTCTCTGTATGGGTTCACTATCTATGGTATACTGAGGTAAAAAAATCTTTTTTTGTTGTTTTTGAGTTGGAGTCCCGCTCATTATTTAATAAAATACGGTAAATTTTGACACGTATATGATTTGATCATATAAGTAGCATAACTCCTCAGCCAAAAATTTAGCATTTTATTTTATAGAAGAGAGCTAAATTCTGTTATGTTGTATTCTAAAGGTAGAAATTTTACTTCTTTCAAAGTAAAAGCAATTGAACCCTCCCACCACACTCTGAGGCATCAAATTGCTTTGCCAAAGTTATACTTTTAATTTATCTGACTAACTTGACATATTTATCTGGTAATTTACATAATTTAAATGGTATCTTTTCTTTTGGTGCCATGAAATGCCAGGTAATGCCACCTTAGGAGCCTTGGGTGAATTATTTAGTATTTCTTGGTTTTACTTCCATTATGAAGTAGACAGTGGGGCTAGAGTAGACAACTATACTGTATATCTCTCAGCTATAAACTTTTGTGTTAATTTAATGTGAAATTTGGGGAACATCTCGTTTTCCAGGATTCTGCACTAGCAACTCAGCAGTTTCACTCTGCTCCTTATGCGGTGACAAACTCTGGTTCCTCTGTTTCAGTGAGCACCTTCACTTTTTTGATATCCTGGGATCCAAATGAAAAACCAAAAGTAAAAGGCAGTGGGGAAAAGAATAACTTAGTGCCGAAAAGGAAAAGCTTCTTTTCTGTTCCTGAAGTCCCGCAAGGCCACATTCTCTCAATCTGGCTATTTCATGTAAAATCCAGGTGACAAAGACAGAAGGCACATTTTGTGTTTGCGTCTTTTTGTTTCTCTGTTTTTGTGTTGATATATTCACACCACAGAAGTAACAGTGATCTGGTAGAGAACTGGAAGTAGAGTCAGAAGCCCTGGGGAAAATCCTGCAGCTTGCTTATATTTTTAACCTCTCTTTTTTAAAAAGAATCTTGATAACTAAATCAGTTTATCAATGTGTATATGTAGAAGTGCTTAGTACAATGTCTAGATTTATGATTTAGTGAATGTAATTCTTATAACTGACTAAAAATGTTACAAGTATCAAATCACGATAGAATATTATCAGGGAAGCACAACTTTAAAAACTTTGAGAAGTTTTATCTGTCTAAATACACATAGATGTAATGCGTAATGCTCTTGCTATAGGGTTGTGGATGGGTTAGATGTGGGAGTATAAATGCAATTTTCTTTTTTCAATATATTAATTTAATCAAATTTGTTAATATTTTACTTCATGCTTTGAGTTTGTTGTAATTCAGAGTAAGGCTTTTACAATTCTGATATTCTTAAAAATTCTCTAGCATGGGCTTTTTTTTTTTTTTTTTTTTACTTTTATGGATTCATTGACTTCAGATAAATTTTTGAACTTTTTGAAGTTTATGCTCCCTAAGGGAAGGTTTTGTTTTCAACTTTTTCTCCAGTTGGATATCCACTTACAGCAGCCTTTTAAATTGCTTGAAAGTACAGGTTGTTCTTTCACTTCAGAGGTAACCATGATATTTTATTGAGTGCTAGCTAAACATTTCTTTTGTTTTATTTAGGATTTTCAAAGTCATGGAAGAAAGAAGGATGTCATGTATGAAAATTGCATGTTGAAGAGAGATACTGCCGTACTCAGACGGAAATTACACACAATAAAAAATGCCAGTCTCAGAAAGGAAAAGGAACATATTCAGGAAATTAAAAGAATTAAAGAAATAAATGCTAACTTTCGAAAGAGTGTAAGACTCAATGAGGAAATGATAACAAAAACAATATCACAGTATTGTCAACGGCTTCATGAACTCAAAGCTAAGAATACAAGGCTGAATTCAGAACTGGAAAAGGAGAAACACAGCAAGGACAGATTGGAAACTGAAATCGAATCCCTCCATTCCATCCTGTCTGCTGCTGTGAATGAGCACAATGAAAGGGCAAAAACAAAATTCCTACAAGTTGCTTTACAGAGAGCACAAGATGTTTCTGTACAAGAAATAATGACTTCTAATATTTCTCAACTAAAAGATAAGAATGAGCTGCTTACGGGACAACTTTCTAAAGGTCGGATGAAGTTCAGTACCTTAAAAGAGAAGCTCCAGGAGACAAGAGATGCTCTCAGGGAAAAGACGTTGGCTTTAGAGAGTGCACAGAGGGACCTAAGGCAAAAGCAGCATCGAATAAAGGAAATGGAACAGATGCATCTAAATGAGGAAGCTAAAGAGAGTCAGTTCATTGGAAAGCAGAACAGTGCGGAGGAGAGAATACGTCAACTAGAACGTGAAAATCTCTTGCTTGAACAACTACTACTAGAGGCTGCTTGTAAGAAAGGCAATAATGAAAACATAGTAATTAATATCCAAGGAGGCTGTCTTGAGAGTGAAAAGGAAGATCTTCTTCTAGAAGAGAAAAATAAAGAATTAACAAATGAATATAATTATTTAAAAGAAAAACTGTTTCAGTATGAAAAAGAAGCAGCAGAAATAAAAGTAAGTATGAAGAAAGAGAAATATTTTTAACCTGGAAAGAAAATGTAAACTTTTCATTTGGCTATATGTTGAACCTAGTTCAGTATTAAAAAGTAAATAGATGGAAGTGTGTTTATCATACTATATAATTCCAGTTATATGAAACATTCAGAAAATCCATGTGCAGGAACAGAAAGTACATTAATGTTTGTGTAGGGCTGAGGCTGGAAATGGGCAGTGACTGCTAATGGGCATGAGGGATTGTCCTGGAATGCTGAAAACGCTCTAAAGTTGGATTGCAGAGATAGTTGCACGACTCAGTAAATTTACTAAATATCTTTGAACTGTATTTGAAAACAGATAAATTTTATAGTATGTAAATCACATTTCAACAAAGCTTTTTTTAATCAACCCCTCCCCCTCAAAAAAAAAAAACAAACAAACCTGTTTTCTGTATTAGCTTGAAAACATACTTTGTTTCCAGGAAATAAAAGGTAGAGCTGACAGATGCTTTACTTTGAGTAAAGACATTGTGTCACCTATGAAATTTTAGTAGATGCAGAGTAATGTTGATGAGGTATGCAGTCTTATACTGCTGAAATAATAAATCGAATGTCTTTATGTTGCCACATTTTAAGACCATAATGAAGCAGATACGTGGAAATGCTTGTACCTGAAATGAATATTTTGAAATTAAGATTCAATTAAGTGAGCTGCTTTGACACTTGATTCTAGATTTCCCAGAAGAACTGAAGTGTGTTGCTGTGTCTTATGATGCTTTTCCGTAGCTCTTTTATATGTTTTAGTTAGTATAACTTTGTTTTGATTCCTGTCAATGTGACTTAAGTCTCGAAATGGGTCAGTCTCAACATTATGTATTTTTTCTGACCACTTAATATATATATATATATATTTTTTTTTTTTTTTGAGACGGAGTTTTGCTCTTGTTACCCAGGCTGGAGTGCAATGGCGCGATCTCGGCTCACCGCAACCTCCACCTCCTAGGTTCAGGCAATTCTCCTGCCTCAGCCTCCTGAGTAGCTGGGATTACAGGCACGCGCCACCATGCCCAGCCAATTTTTTGTATTTTTTTAGTAGAGACGGGGTTTCACCATGTTGACCAGGATGGTCTCCATCTCTTGACCTCGTGATCCACCCGCCTCAGCCTCCCAAAGTGCTGGGATTACAGGCTTGAGCCACTGCGCCCAGCGACCACTTAATATTTTAAAGACATCTACTTGTCATAAAATCACAATTTGGAACAAATGTGGTAAATTTTAGCAAAACATATGTGATTTAATGTTCCAGCTGGTAGGTATTTATAACTTAGTTTGAATATTTTTATTAATAATTAGCTCATAATTTACATTTTAAGTCTCAGTTACTATCATTTAGATATAATTTTTCCCAGTACAAAGATGCTTGCGGCTGTCTGTGATTATGAGTTTGACGTTGGTTCCCCATTTTCAGACGAATGAGGGGTGGTAGAGTGCATATAAAGTGGCACTGAAGTGAGTACGTGACAGAGTTGTAGGAGCTGAGGTCAGGGAGGGAGGTAGAGGCCATGTTACCTAGGGCCTGGAAGGCCATTGGAATTTTACGTTTATTCTGAGATAGGAATCTGTTGGAAGGACTTGAACCTGGGACTGAATATGTGAGAAACTCAGGTTGAGTTGAAGTTCTCAGATGAATGAATAGCAGGCTGAATCAATCTGTCATATAAATAAGAGAATACCAATTTGGTGGGTACATAACACCTGTGTTCCTCACTGAATTCAGTAATAAACAAGAATGTGTACATATGAGGAAAAGAAAGTGAGTCTGTGTGTGTGACAGTAATTTTCAAAGTATGTACGTTAGAGTTAAATATTATCAACGTAATTTAATAATATGGAAATTTATAAAATTAGTAACAAAAATATTTTATCAGGTGATTGTGAGACAACTTCAAGAAGAACTGGCTGGTAGCCTTAAAAAAGTATCTATGCCAGAGTCTCCACTGGAAGGCACATCACGTTGTCACATTAATTTGGATGAGACATGGGCTTCAAAGAAAAAATTATTTGAAGTAGGAAATCAGGTATGCATGGAATTTAACATGTCAGCAGTTAACGTGTAGCTAGTTGAATAATATAAAGTGTTTTAGGTTACTGACTTCAGTGGTTAGCTTGATTTTGTATTTTAATTATAATTAATGATTACTGTTTTATTATCTTGATAAGATACTTATTTCTTAAACTCTGGCTTTTATTCTGCCATTTTGAAAAATATTGCATTCTTTTTCTCTCACAATATTTACTCTTGGGAAAGTTGAGAATCAGATATCATTCCTCACAGAAAATTGACTTTTTTTCCTGTTAAACAGTATTTTTAGATAATTTCTTTATTGCCTTGGTGAGGCAAGCCAGATTAAGTCAGAGGAGAATGTTTAATGGAATGTTCCAGAAAGTTGTCTTATTTCTTCACTTTTGTGAATGGACACAGAAGCTGTGCCTATTTATTTCATGGATTTTAGGTTAACTTGTACAGGAAGGCCATCATACTGTTCTTTGAAATGTACATGTCTTCAGTTAATTTACAAACTACTTGAAAAGTTGGGTATTGCCTTCATTTTTCTTTCATTTAAAATATGCCGTAAAGGCGTAGAAATACTCAGATCCTATAGAGTATGTACACCCAAAATAGACTTGAGAAAATTATCTTGATCCTGCCATTGGATTTTAAAAACCGTTTCACTGAGTGATAGTTCACATGTCAGACAGTTCACCCATTTAAAATGTACAACTCGGTGTCTGTTTGTATATTCACAGTGTTGTGTAACCATCACCACAATCAGTGTTAGAACATGTCCACCCCTCTGAAAAGCAACCCCACGTCTCTTAGTCATGACTGCAGCCCCTCTCCATGCCCTCTACCTACCCCAGTTGTAGGTAACCACCATCTACTTTTGTCTCCACAGATTTGCATGTTCTTCATATGTTATATACATAGAGTCATACAATGTGAGGTCCTTTATGACTGGCTCTTTCACTCAGTGTAACGTTTGCAGAAGTTTATCCATGTTGTAGTACATAAAAGAAGTTTATTGTCAAATAAGAGTCTGTTTCATGGCCACACTGGTCTTCCATTCATTCATCAGTTGATGGACTTTTAGGTTTTTTTCCCCCACTTTGGGGCTACTATGAAAACAGCTGCTGTGAACACTCATTTACAGGTTATTGTATAGACATATGTTTTTATTTCCCTGCCACTGGAATGTATCCTCAGAGTTAACTGAGCAGATTTCAGCAACAGTCTTACTCATGCTGTCCAGCTTGTCCCTCCTGCCTTCTCAGTTTCTGTTCATCTAGCCTCATTCGTTCAGACCTGGCAGACAATTTCCTCTTCTTCATGAAGCTCTCTCTGACTGTTCTGACTCTCATTGACCTTATGTCTCAGCTCTTGTTGTCCAGTCTGTGCAGAACAACTTAGCCCTCAATTTTACAGGGCTTTAATTTTTCTATAGGAGATAATCTTGTCTCATTATAAATTTGCTTAAAGGGAAAATAATATATGACATGCATCTCACCTATCCTTGTATAAATTGAAAATATTTTAGCTTAGCAATTTTTAGCATAGAGTTACTTTATACCATACCAATTATTTCTCCTTTGAGACATTGACACAGTAAATCTTTTATTCTAAGTGTATTCTTAGCAATTAACCAATCAGTCTAATGAAGAGAATTGTTCAATCAAATGCTCATGTTTTTCTTAGTATGAAAAGAGGATCTAAATTTGCCTTCACTATGCAGGCAGAACTGTATTTCTGGATGGCTGCCAGTTTGTCAGCTGCACAGTTCTGGCTGCAGCTTGTCTGATGACAAAGCCCCTTAATTTGAGAGCTTAGAAGAGTGCTAGTGAAAGCAGCACCACAGCAACAGTTTCTGGAGGGAATTGATTCAGGAGCCTTCATTTAGCAAAAGAGTCCAGGGGTTTCAGCCCAGTGGCTCAGCCTGTCTCTGCTGGTCGTGTTGGTTATGTACTGCTCAATCCAGGAGGTGCTACTTACATTGTAGTACATACGTGACTGTTGCCCACTGAGTCATACTGAGAGAAAAGAAAGCTATAAATTATACACTCCCCATTTGCTGCCACTTTCAGTGGTATGAAGAGTGATTCAGCGCAGCTATAGGTTGCAACCTCCGTTGGAATGCCACCTGCCTAACACATATAATTGTTAAGATATAAAAAATGGTAAAAATGATCATGCTAATAGCAAATATTATCTGTAGCTTACTATGCACTATGTACTCCTCTGAGTGCTTCATGTTAGCCCCCGGTTTAATCTTCCCAACATCCCAGTGAACTAGACGGTATCATTCTCTCCATTTCATAGCTAAAGAACCAGAGACACAGAAAATTAATTTGCTCAAGGTCACATAGCTAGTACCTGGTGTAGAGCTGATGACCCACAGGGTCGTGGGGTGTCCCTTATGCTGTGCTGAGGTGCAGGATCCGAGAAATAAAGAGACAGGACACAGAAGTACAAGGAAAACATATATTATTTTCATATAGTAGTAACACTATAAACTGAGATATTCTCCAGGCCTTAATTGTGCCAGGATTCTGCTTAGCTCTCCTTCCTCGGTACCTATATGGGGGGTTACCCACACCTCGTAGAGCTGGGATTCAGACCCAGGCCAGATACTGCCTCTCAAATCATTCCATGAAGCACCTGGTTGGGTAACAGTGGTTCATGCCAGTAATCCTAGCACTTTGGGAGGCTGAGGCAGGAGCAGTGCTTGAGCCCAGGAATTTGAGACCAGCCAGAGCAATATAAGTGAGACCCTGTTTGTACCCCCCAAAAAAAAATTGTTAGCTGAGGCATGGTGGTGCATACCTGTAGTCCCAGCTACATTGGGAGGCTGTGGTAGGAGGGTTGCTTGGTCTTGGGATATCAAGGCTGCAGTGAGCAGTGATCAAGCCACTGCATTCCAGCCTGGGTAACAGAGTGAGACTCTCTCATAAATGAAATGTTTTGTATAGATTCTCATATAAGTGAGTTAGACATCAGGCATACACTTATTAACCACTTTGATGCCTGCTTGAGAGTGAAACATTTCATAAGGACAGCTTTAAACCATCTCAATCAATAGCCTCTAACTATTCCAGAAGGTTCTTATTTCATGAATTCCTAAGCAAGAGACTACCTGGATTAAGACATTTGGTGGACTACCATTTTGAGATGAAGAATCTCGATTGGGAAGAAGGGAGACCTCTACTGACTGGAGCTTCCCAATGATGTAGTCGAGTGTCCCTCTGAAAAACTTTAGAACAAGACTTTAATCATGCCGTATCTCTGTGGAAAAGGAAATTCTTCCAAAGAAAACGAAGGCAAACAATTGATAATCTGATTCTTCGGGAAAGTTTCCATTACAAAAGAAAACAAGAGCTAGGTGCAGTGGCTCACGTCTGTAATCCCAGCACTTTGAGGGGCTGAGGTGGGTGGATTCCCTGAGGTCAGGAGTTCAAGAACAGCCTAGCCAACATGATGAAACCCTGTCTCTAATAAAAATACAAAAATTAGCAGGGCATGGTGGGGTGCACCTGTAGTCCCGGCTATTTGGGAGGCTGAGGCAGAAGAATCACTTGAACCCGATAGGTGCAAGTTGCAGTGAGCTAAGATGGTACCACTATACTTTAGCCTAGATGGCAGAGTGCAATTCCTTTTCAAAAAAAAAGGACAAAGTATAGTGGTCAAAAAGAAGGAAAGCAAGCAAAAAAGGACAAGGTATACTGGTCAGTATCCTAAGGGTGAGATTGTTACCCTTCAAGATTAGAAAATAGCACTGTACTCAAAGTGACATCGATAAGAATTAACATAAAATAGACAAGATTCATTATCTGTGAAAGTCATCTGCACCAAGTAGCAATGTATGAGCATGTGGTTGAGAATATTGTCTATAATATGTGTACCAGAAGGAAGAGGACTCAAGAAAAAGGTCGGAGCGGGAAATGTAGATTAGGGAATCTGGGTCAAAGTTTTGAGATTTTAGGAGCCCTGAGAGCGTTTAAAAAGAATAATAGAAAGGGATAGGACTGAACTTCAGAGGTTGCTGCATTTAGAAATGAAGTGGAGTCAGAGGAGCAGACAGCGTTTTGTCACTGCTCACAGTTGTCCTGAGTAAAGCAGGATAAAGTACTTCATGACTCTTGGACTTTTTTATTGGAATTATTAAAAATCAGATTTCAGTATTAAAAAAAACAAATAAGTGATGGAAAAAGATCTCTGGATGAGACCATGTGTCATAGAGTCCAATGGAAGGGGAGAAATAGGATAATATTAAAGCCACAAAAAGTAGACAAAAGTTATGTTTTTGTCTATTATAGAGAAAAAATAAAATTTGTTTAAAGAGAAATGGTTAAGAGAAAGGGAAAAGCTGAAACCCATGGGTGAATACTTAGAGAGAATGAGAGTATTTAGCTCAGCCTGAGGACAGATGAGAATCGAAAATACCGTGGGAACTAGATAAGAGTTTTCTAAGTAAGTAAATCATCTGAGTAAGATGTAATTAACAAAACTTGAAGTATCTTAAACCATTAATGACAATGTTTCTAGAGCATCTTTAAAAACTAAAAGGTAAATATGACTACTCTTATTTTTTTTCTTACTAACACTTAGTATTACATGTATGTGTAAAAACCCTCATTTTTAACAAACATTTTTGGCAGTTTACGTTTCAGAAAAGAAAATGATGAAAGTATGAATCGTTTTTATCTGTTTTAAGAAAACTGACTATTTTTGAAATCTGTCCTTATTGGCATGAGGTTTAAAAAATGCCCTTTATACACATGCCTAAATGCATATTACTCATCAACTTACAAGAAATAATATTTTTTATCTCTAGTGTCTCTAGATTTTACAAAAATAATTTTAAATCCTTTTTTTTCAAGTCTGAAGAAAAGGAAGAATTAAGAAAACTTTTTGAGTTAATATCATCACAGGAGTATAATATGGATCAAATAAGAAAGAAAAATAATGAATTAGAAGAAGAGACAACTGGGTAAGGTTTCCCTACTGTAGAACATTTTAATCATTTATCAACTGATTTAACTCTGATTTTATTTGATTAAACCTACATACAAATTCATTTTATGTCTGCATTTTCATAATTAAATGAAATATATTTTAAAATGTATTTCAGAAACTCACAGCACAACATTCTAAGACATGTGGACCAGGGGGATGGGAGTTGGCTGAACTGCTGGGGGAAGGTTGGGATGAAAAAATTTATATTAAAAATATGAAAAAAAGAAACAACACAATCTTAAATGTTTTTGAATGCCACAATGTTACACTTATTCTTTACTGAGTTTGAAAACAGTATTGACAAAGCCTTGGACCTATAATGTCAAGTACGCTCTTCATTATCTAGTTTGAATTTTTATTTCTGAAGATATTTTTGATGTCTGTTCATCATTTCTTCCTTTTGTAGAATCCTTCTCTGCTGCATTTAAGTTCTTTAAAGAAGACCTATTTGTGTCATTCTTTAACATCAAAATTTGTCTTGATATGTAGCTTATATTTTGTTTCTGCTTCTCTTCCTTTTAGATATAAAACATATCATGGAAGTTTACCCATTTTACATGGGCACCTCCTTTGTATACATGAAGTACACATGTTATTAAACTTCTGTTTTACAGAAATAAATTATATGTTTATACATATAACTTAAAGAAAAAGAGTAAAATGAGCATTCATGTTTTGATCACAGATTTTTTTTTTAAATGGAATGTGTCTTTGAAGCCCTGAACACAGTTACTTTTCTATTTATTTACTGAGCACTTAAGTTGGTTTTCTGATAATAATCAACATTTTTCTGTTGTTGCCTTTCTCTACATGGTTTTGTATCTCTTTCATTTTGCTGACATTGTGTCAGCACAGATCTCTAGCTCTCTTCAGAGTCTTTAAATCATCACATATCTCTCTGTACCTTTCCTTTTTTCTAAAACTGCCTGTTTCCTTTTTCTCCTCAACTCAGACATTAAAGATATTTGCTTACGTCTCTTTTTCTACATTGAATGATCTCATTGATGCTTTTTGTGTGTACTTTTCTTATAGACTGTGGCCAACAGGTATCAAAATGTATTTTTTGTGTCTTTTTCAAACATGTATATGTTTTACTTTTTTATCTTGGTTACTCATCTCTGGGTTATGGCCTATATTTGGTTGTAGGTTATTTTATGTTAGCATACCAACATGGATCTGAATAGTTCATTTATAAAAACTGTATGGTTAGGCCAGGCATGGTGGCTCACACCTATAATCCCAGTACTTTGGGAGGCCCAGGTGGATGGATCATTTGAGGTCAGGAGTTCGAAATCAGCCTGACCAAAATGGTGAAACCCCGTCTCCACTAAAAATACAAAATTAGCCTGGTGTGGTGGGTCATGCCTGTAATCCCAGCGACTCGGAAGACTGAGGCAGGAGAATCACTTGAACCTGGGAGGCAGAGTTTGCAGTGAGCCAAGATCATGCCATTGCACTTCAGCCTGGGCAACAAGAGCAAAATTCCACCTCAAAAAAGAAATTGTTCTTCATATTATTTATCTGACATTATAGTTTCATATAGAATGCTTTCAAACTATGTTCAGTTGAAACTGAGAGGATTGTAGTTTATACATTTGTTTCTTTGATATACCATAACTTATCTGTTTAAACAATTATTAAGTATTTACTCTTAAAAATACTTGATTTCCTAATTCTGTGAATTTCTGCAGATATAAGAAACTCCTAGAAATGACAATAAGTGTGTTAAATGTATTTGGAAATGAAGATTTCAGTTTCCATGGAGACTTAGAAACAGATCAGCTGAAAATGGATATTCTGATTAAGAAGATAAAACAGAAGGTAATGTTTAAACAAATTTTATTTTATCTTAAGGTCTGGATTACATGTGCGAGACGTGCAGGTTTGTTACACAGGTAAATGTCTACCATGATGGTTTGCTGCACCTATCAGTCCATCACCTAGGTATTAAGCCCCACATGCGTTAGCTATTGATCTTGATGCTCTCCCTCCTGACCCCAACAGGCACCAGTGTTTGTTGTTCCCCGAGTCCATGTGTTCTCATCGTTCAGCTCCCACTTATAAGTGAGAATATTCAGTGTTTAGTTTTTGGTTTTGGGTTAGTTTTCTGAGGATAACAGCTTCAAGTTCATCCATGTCTCTGCAAAGAGCATGATCTCATTCATTTTTATGGCTCCATAGTATTCTATGGTGTATATATACCACATTTTCTTTATCCCATCTTATCACTGACGGACATCTGGATTGATTCCATATCTTTACTATTATGAATAGTGCTGCAATGAACATACAAATGCATGTATCTTTATATAGAATGATTTATATTCCAACACAACATCATTTTAAATCAGTTTTAGCTTAAAAATCACATAATTTGGAGAAATATTAATGATGGAAAAACCCAAATTCTGCCCAAATATGTTTAAGGTTTGTTCTGAGCCAATGTGGTGACTGTGGCCCTGGGTTACACAATCTCAAGAGATCCTGAGAATGTTTTGTGAGACAGTCACATTACAGTTTGGTTTTATGCATTTCCAGTGGACAGAAATCATAGGGAAAATCATAAATCAATATGAGGAAAGGCATACGTTGGTTTAGCCTGAAAGTGGACCGTCAAAAAGGAGAGGTTAACAAGTCATAGGTGGGTTTTAGGGATTCTTTAGGTAACAATTGGTAAAGAAAGTTAAGCTGTTGTCTAAAACTTGAAACTAGTAGAAAGGAATGCCGTAAGACCAGGTGGTTATGGAGGGCCAAGGTTCTTCCTATGTAGATGAAGCCTCAGAGCTGGCAGGCCTCGGAGAAAATAGAGGGTAAAAATATCTTTTCAGATATTAAATACATCAGAACCTTAGTTAATCTTCCCTAGATCTGGAATGATCTAGAAGGGGAGAGCTCTAGCTATATTAATGAAGACTTCTTATAGATACAATTTCCCCCACAGAAGACAGCTTCATAAGGCCATTTTTATCTCTTGGCCCTGTGGCAGCCATCTGGGGGCAAAATATTTTGATTTCCTTCAGTTTCTGCTGTCTGTGATGCTGTACCAGAATCAGGTTAGAACGTAAGTCACATTGTAAGAGTTAATAATACCCATCTGATAAGATGTTATAGTTTGAAGGGTGTGATTCTCCAGACCCTTTAGATAGAAATTGGGGCAAAAGAAAACAAGGTCTTATTCCTCAACATAAATCTCTCAGTGCTTTAAGCAGTGAAAGAAAGATTTTTTTCCTTTAATTTTTCCAACTTGATTCTAATGAAAAAGATAGTTTTTAGAATGTATATCATATTTTTTCTAGAAAAAGGACATGCTATTGATTCTCATACATCTTGAACCCTGGCCAGTGATCTGAAACCAAGCAGTACATGTCTCCAGATCACTAGTACCAAATAAATTTGGGGAACTAACAGGTTTATTGAGAAATAATAAACACACCATGTAATTCACTCATTTAGCAAGTACGATTCATTGGCTTTTAGCATTTTCAGAGAGTTGTGCAATCATCATTACAGTCCATTTTGGGACATTTTTGTCACCCTAAAAAGAAACCCCACATCATTTAGCCATCTTCACTAGTTTCCCCTCCCTCCCCTAGCCCTAGGGAACCACCTGCCTTCTTTGTATAGATTTGCCTATAAGCCTCTGAAATAAAAAGCAAGTGGTCTAGTGTGACTGGCATATTTCACTTGGCATAATTTTTCATGCTGTATCTGTGTTGCAGCAAGTATTGATGCAGGGCTTTTGCTCCTTAGTTTGGCTAAATCTGGGTTCTTCTCTCATGATCAGGAAAAATTGGGCACACAGACACATTGAAGGGTGGGGAGGGCAGAATTTATTAAGTAAAAGGAAAGCTCGCAGCAAAGAGAGGGGTCCTGCAGACAGCTTTCACCTCACAGTTGAATACCGGGGTCCCCACGCATGAGCTGAAGAGGCCAGGCTCCTCCCCTGCATAAGGTGTTAGTTCCTGGTGGCTCCACCCCACTCCCCCAGTGCCTGTGGGCCTCCAGTCTGCTGTGGGCAGGTCCAGGCACGACGCCGTGCAGGTTCCCTTATCTGCACAAAACATCTGGTGTAAACACTTACAGGGCTGGTTGGAGAGTCTCTGGGGACCCTTCCATATCTGCCTAGGCATTTTGCTGTCTCCTGCTTCTATCAGTGTCAGTACTTAATTTCTTCTTATTGCTGAGTAATATTCCATTGTGTGAATACATCAGATATTTTATTTATCCATTCATCAGGCCGTGGACCTTTGGGTTCTTTCCACTTTTTCACTCTTATTAATGATGCTGCTGTAAATGTCTGTGTATGAGTTTTTGTGCTTGTGTATGTACTTAGTATTTTTCTTGAGTATATACTTAGGACTGGGATTTCTGAGTCATATGGTAACTTCATGCTTGACCTTTTGAGGAGCTGCCAGTTTGTTTTCCAAAGAGGCTGCACCACTTCACGTTGCCGCCAGCATTGTGTAAGGATTTTAATTTCTTTACATTTATGCTAACACTTATTTTCTCTTTATTGTTGAAGAATATTTCATTCTGTGGCATGAAGTGATACCACATGGTGAAACCACCATGATTCAAACTTTCCTAATGACTAATTACACTAAGCATCTATTAATGTGCTTATATCCATCTTTATATCTTCTGTGCAGAAATATCTATTCAAAATTTTTGCGCATTTTTAAAATTGGGTTATCTTGTTATTTATGAATTGCAAGGGTTCTTTATACATCAAAGCTGTAAGTCCTTTATCAGATAGATAGGCTTTTTGAATATTTTCTTCTACTCAGTGGCTTACCTTTTCACCTTCTTGATACTGACTTCTCAGGCATGGTAGTTTTCAATTTTGAAGTCCATTGAATCCATTTTTCCTTTGGAGTCATAGCTAAGAAATCACTGCCAAATGCAGAGACAAAGATTTATGCCAGCGTTTTCTTCTGAGGGTTTTGTAGTTTTAGCAGTTACGGTTAACTGTTTTATTTTGAGTTAATTTTTAAATATGGTTATTTAAAAAATAAAGTTAAATAAAATTGGTGAGAGTCCAACTTTATTTACTTATTTATTTATTTATTGCATATGGATGCCCAGTTGTCCTGGCACCATTTGTTGAAAAGACTATTCTTTTCCCATTTTGTTCTTTTGTTAACCTTGTATAAAATCAATTGACTGTAAACATGCAGGTTTGTTTTTAGATTATCAATTTTTAGTTTGTTGATGTCTATTGGCCACAAATAACAGATTTTATTTCTGTATATGCTGAATGTATGTATACCACAATTTTTGTCCATTAATTTGTTGATGGACATGTAAGTTGGTTCCATATATTAGCTGTTGTGACTATTGCTAAAATAAACATGCGAGTAGGGGTATCCTTTTGACTTCTTGTTTTCTATTGCCTGAATACCCAGTAGTGGGGTTGCTGGATCCCTCAGCAGTTCCAGTATTAGTTTTTTGAGAAAACCTCATGTTTTCTATGGCGGCTGCACTAATTTACCTTCCCACCAACAGCATTTGTTATTTTTTGTCTTTTCAATGATAGCCATTTATTTGACCTGGAGCAAGATTATTGCAGGTTTGATTTGTAGTTCCTGGATGATTAGTGATACTGAGCATCTTTAAATGGATTTATTGGCCGTTTGTATTTCTGCTTAAAAAAAAAAACAAAAAAAAACCAGAAATGAAATGTCTAATCAGATCTTTTGCCCAATTTTGAACTCCGATTATTTTTTTCCTGTCAGGGTGTTTGAGTTTCTTATATATTTTGATTATTAGTTTTTTTTTTTTTTTTTTTTTTTTTTTTTGAGACAGAGTTTCGCTCTTGTTACCCAGGCTGGAGTGCAATGGTGCGATATCGGCTCACCGCAACCTCCGCCTCCTGGGTTCAGGCAATTCTCCTGCCTCAGCCTCCTGAGTAGCTGGGATTACAGGTACACGCCACCATGCCCAGCTAATTTTTTGTATTTTTAGTAGAGACGGGGTTTCACCAAGTTGACCAGGATGGTCTCGATCTCTTGACCTCATGATCCACCCGCCTCGGCCTCCCAAAGTGCTGGGATTACAGGCTTGAGCCACCGCGCCCTGCTGATTATTAGTTTTTTATTAGATGACTAGCTTGACAATATTTTCTCCCATTCTATAGGTTTTCTCTTCACTCAGTTGTTTTCTGGGCAGAAGCTCTTTGGCTCCATGTAGTACCATTTGCCTATCATTTGTTTTTTGCCTATGCTTCTGATGTCTTACTCATAAAAATCTTTGTTCAGACTAATGTCCCGAATCATTTTCCCTGTGTTTACTTGTAGTAGTTTGATGATTTGGGGCCTTCCATTTAAGTCTTTAATTGATTCTGAGTTTATTTTGTTACATGGTGTTCAATAGTGAAGTGGAAATTTTGCCCAGGATTTTGTCAGCACGTTGCCAGCAACCATCCCTATTTTTAAAATTGACCCTATTTTTGTTAGTAACTGCTTCTTTCTGCTTCTGTGCCTCAATTTATTGCTTACTAACTGAAAAGCCTTAAGAAAACTGCCGTGTTGTCTAAACCCTGCTGCACTGTCTAAAGTTCTGAGTTACTTCCCCTGCCCCTTCACCTATAAAAGCTGTGTACCTCTTCTTAGCTGGGGTCCAGACTTTTGGGTGTGAACCCTTCTGGGCCCACCGGCATAGTAAAGTGTGTTCCTCCAATCTCTGAGTGCCGCTTGGGTTTCTTGTCGGGTAAAATTTTCCAGAACAGGAAGTTATAATTTCGTTTTCCCAGTGCCATTCACTTGAAGAGTGTGTCCTTTCCCTAATGTATGTTTTTGCCACCTTAGTTCAAAATCAGTTGGCTGTAAATATATGGATTTATTTCTGGGTGTTTTATTCTATGGCCTTTACCTCAAGAATTATTACTTCTTAAAATGCAATTCAAATTGGCATGAAACATTTGCAGTTTAAGGAAAGGCTTATGGCATCAGAATCCTTATTTACAGGATTCATTATTTTGTGTGTGTGTGTGTGTGTGTGTGTGTGTGTGTGTGTGTGTGTGTGGTTTTTTGTTGTTGTTGTTTGTTTGTTTGTTTAAGATATGGTCTTCGTGTGTCTTCCAGGCAGAAGTGTGTTGATGTGGTCATAATTCCCTGAAGACCTAAACTTTGGGTACAAGTCATGCTTTTGCCTCAGTCTCTTAACAAGCTGGGTCTACAGGCACGAGCCACCATGCCTGGCTATTTTTTAAAAAATTTTTTGGAGAGATGGGGGTCTCACTATGTTGCTCTGGCTGATCTCAAATTTTTGATCTGAAGTGATCTGTCTGCCACAGCCTCCTAAAGTGCTGGGATTATAGGCGCGAGCCACCATGCCTAGTATAGAGTATTATATTACTTTCAAAGTTTTATTCTGAGAGCCATTTATTGACTTTGGCCTAAATAATTCAATATGATAGCTCTGAAACTTTTTTTTTGACAAATTATGAGGAATAATGATGAGGGAGAGGGGTTAAACACTTTTGTTTAGCAGAGACGAGGTTTCACCACATGGGTCAGGCTGGTCTGGAACTCGTGACCTCAGGTGATCCTCCCACCTTGGCCTTTCAAAGTGCAGTGATTACAGGTATGAGCCACCATGCCCAGCTTTTTTTTTAAATTTAATTTAATTTAATTTTTTGGAGACAGAATCTTGCTCTGTTGCCCAAGTAGAGTGCAGTGACGCAATCTCGGCTCACTTAACCTTCACCTCCTCTATTGAAGCAATTCTCCTGCCTCAGCCTCCTGAGGAGCTGGGACTACAGGCACACACGGGCATGCCTGGCTAATTTTTTGTATTTTTTAGTAGAAACAGGGTTTCACCATGTTGGCCAGGCTGGTCTCGAGTTCCAGAGCTCAGGCAGTCCACCCACCTCGGCCTCCCAAAATGCTGGAATTACAGGCTGAGCCACTGCGCCTGGGCGACACTCTTTTCTAAGAGATAACTTAGTGCCATTTAAGGAGGAACAAAAATAAATTGTCAGAAAAATAAAAGTAAGTTCAATTGCAAAAGTTCTGTCGTAAAGATGATGTTAGTAAAGAGTATATTTTTGTGACTCATAGTTGCTTTAACTTTGTTCTTGAAATTTGGAGAATTTAAGGGTTCCCATTTGAAGAATCTGCTACATTATAGATAACATTTTATTGCAAGTAAATGTGTTTTAAAATTTGCTGTTGGTTTTGTATCAGATTATTCTCAGCCTACTTCATTATTAAGCTATATTATTTTATTCATGCAGCTTGATGATCTTATAGCAGAAAAGGAAGCTGTATCTTCAAAATGTATCAATTTGGATAAAGAAAATAAAGTTATTCAACAGGAGTTATTATCTATGAAGAAAGTACAAGAGAAACGTGAAAAACTTGAGGATAAAAAGATGTTGGAAGAAGAACTATTAAATCTTAAGACACATATGGATACAAATATGGTAGAAGTTGGTGAAGTACGAGAATATAAATTGGAGGTGGAAGAAAAGGCAATGCAGGCAATAAAAAACTTAGAAGAAACCCATTTACAGGTTAGTTTTTAAAATCAGGTAAGTTTATCTGTAATGTGCTTTCATTTATTTCACTGCAAATTATATTTTGGAAATGTATATGTTTCCTCTGCCTCTCTTATAGCAATTTGCTTTGTAACGTTCTGAGAAAAAAAAATGGCATCTGTTTTTTCTTTTAAATATTTAAATTTCCATTATTATTATAACAAAATTAATCTTTCAGAATAATGATTCTCACTATAGAGTGATTTGATTATTAAGACCAGTTGGCATAAGTGAAAATTGTGATTTAGAAATTATATGGTACTTTTGAATTGTTCTTAAGCTACATTGTTCATTGTTCAATTTTTAAAATTATAAATGGATTCTATTACTTTCGATATGACCAGATTACATTAATACTAACCTAATAAGGATTTCAAACTTTTATAAATTGTACTTATCTGGATTCAGTTATTAATTTTGTTGATATTGCTGATAAATATTTTAAGCTTCAACCTCATTTTTAACATCTGCAAAATTGCTCTTTGAATCACTGACTCGAAAAGCAACAAATATATGGTCATTATGTTATAATTGTTTTAAAAGTGTATTCTTTTCATTTGTCTTAGAAACAAGCAGATTATGAAAAACAATTAGAGCAGCTAAACAAGGAGCATACAGCTTCACAAAATGAGATGGAACTCAAGATTAAAGATGTGAAATGTAAACTCTCCGAAATGAAAACTGCTTATGAAGAGGTTACAAACGAATTAGAAGAATATAAGGAAGCCTTTGCAGTAACATTAAAAGCTAACAATTCCATGTCAAAAAAAATACATGAGGTAAGTCAAAACATACATTCATAGAAGATGAATTAAGCTCATTAATTTGTTTTGAAAGCATAATTTTTAGTGAGGTGGCTTCAGGAGATTAGTAGGAAATGAATGCTAATTGCATATTGTAATTTTGGAAAATAATGTTAGTAAATTAGTAAATAATCTTACCTTTAAAATGTTAGTCAAGGATAGTTTGTTTCTTTCCTTTCTTTTTTGGTTTTTGTATGTCTTTTTTCCCCTGAAACGTTTCATGTAGTTAACCTGATCCATTAGTTTTTTTTTACTAAGTATTTTTGAAGCTTGCAATTACTAAAGTGATCTTGTTATAAAATTACTTGTCAGAATTTCCCTAAATAGAAATATTAATGAGTTTAACTTATTTTCTGGTAGATGGCGACCTAAACCCAGAGCGGCGCTGAGGCCCTGGACGGTTTCTGATTGTGATCTCTAGTGTTATTACTAGAGGGCGCCAGACCGTTCAGGATGTTACAGAAAAGCATTCTTGTGAAACAGGGAATCATTATTACAGGAATAAAAAGAAGTGTAATTCACAAAGTGGTTGAAAAATAACACCCTGTCGAGCCTGAAGGGTGTGTGGAAGGCAGAAAGAACAAGCCCCCAGGTACGGGACCTTGGTCACAGTGTTAGGGGCCACTTGACTTCAAAAATGCTTTAGTTCTTTCTGATCGCCCGTCCAGCCATCTTGTTCTCCTGTAGGAGTTGTGGCTCTGAATCATTCCTCAGTGCCAGATGCTTCATTGTTCCCAGGTAATGGGTGAAATGTACAAGAGTGAAACCTGAAACTGTTTTACTAAACACAAGTATTTCTAGCTTTTTTCGTTTTCTTAATCCACGTTATTTAAGGAGTAGAGCATGATGTTTTGATACAATTATTTATAGTGAAGTGGTTCTTATAGTTAAGCAAATTAACATATTCACTTTCCCAGATAGTTACCCCTTAAATACAAGTATTTCTAATGGAATCTTTAGCATCTTACAAGGAAAGCCATTTTAGAAGGCAGCAAACTGTTACCTATTGAGCCGAACATCACTGACAGCCATTTCTCTTCGCTGTCTACTTTGTTTGCACTGCTGGTTCAGCAGAAATCACCTTAGAAACACATGTATTTCTTTAGAACAATTATTAAATTATAATTGTTTACAACAGGTATGCTCTCACATCTTCGGTGTTAAAACGCTATTTAGTAGGTAATTTGGTTTACTCTCAGGGCAACTTTAAAAAGAAATGCAAGTCATTCCAAATTATTAAAGAAAAAAGGAAATACTAAGCATTTGTCTTTGTTTTCTTTCCAGATGGAAGAAGAAAATGGCAGCACCAAGCTCCTTATGGAGAAGGTGAGGATGAAATCTTGTCTCAGCATTCTTCCTATGAGGCCAGACCCAAAGTCACCTCATGTTAAAAATCTGAGTAGTATAGAATGCAACAGAAAATATATTCCTGAAACATCCTGGAAAAATTCCTACTTCAGACCCCCAGACTTCAAATAACTGGAAGAACTACTTGACAGGTTAGTTACAGTACCTTTTCATTTTGGGTTTCGTTTCTCTAATATAATTCTTATTTTTAGTTTGGTGAAATATTGAGTTTTTCTGTTGACTTATACATGTGAATTAGCCATGTTAACACAGAAAGAAAATGGGAACTTTACATTTTTTAATTCCCTGGAGCTGTCATTCTAAAGAGATACCCATTTATTCAATAAATGTGACTGAACTGACACATTTAAAATTTCTTTAAAAGCTGCATTTAAGTTAGGTTTTAGAAATTGCATGTTATTGCCTAATAACTGAAGGTATACTTTGAGATGCTTTGGCTTACTCTCTAGTTGATTGCAGTTTGGCTGTGGTTCATACCGCTTTTTTTTTTTTTTTTTTCTTTTTTGAGACAGAGCCTTGCTCTGTCCCAGGCTGGAGTGCAATGGCACAATCTCAGCTCTCTGCAACCTCTGCATCCTGGGTTCAAGTGATTCTCCTGCCTCAGCCTCCTGAGTAGCTGAGACTACAGGTACCTGCCACCATGCCTGGCTAATTTTTGTATTTTTACTAGAGACAAAATTTTACCATATCAGCCAGGCTGGTTTCAAACTCCTGACCTTGGGATCTGCCAGCTTCGGCCTCCCAAAGTGCTGGGATTACAGGTGGGGGCCACTGCACCCCTGGCTCATACCACTTTTAAAGTTTCATTGCACAGTCTCAGCTCTTCCCACCCATACTCACACGTGAATGATTGGCATTGAAACACTTAACCACACATGGATGTTTATTATTTAATAGAATCTAAAATAAGTGCATTTTACAAATTAAATAAAACTCTAAAAGGTTCATTCCCATTTTTATGTTAAAAGCTTCGTGCTTGGCCAGGCGCAGCGGTTCATGTCTATAATCCCAGCATTTTGTGAGGCCGAGGTGGGCAGATCACCTAAGGTCAGGAGTTTGAGACCAGCCTGGCCAACATGATGAAACCTCATCTTACTGAAAATACAAAAATTAGCTGGGTATGATGGCAGGCATGTGTAATGCCAGCTACTTGGGAGACTGAGGCAGGAGAATCACTTGAACCCTAGGAGACGGAGGTTGCAGTGAGCCACCGAGATCACACCACTGCACTACAACCTGGGTGACAAAGGCAGACTCCATCTTAAAAAAAAAAGAGCTTTGTGCTTTTCTTGCATAACAGTATATCCAGTGACTACAAAAATCCTAGAATAAAACCTAGGAAATGCTATTCTGGACATCACACTTGTGAATTAATTTATGGCTAAGTCCTCAAATGCAATTGCAAAGATAACAAAACTTAACAAGTGTGATCTAACTAAGCTGAAGAGCTTCTGCACAGCATGAGAAACTGTCAAGGGATTAAACAGACAGCCTAAGGAATGTAAAGAAATACTCACAAACTGCATACAGAAAAGGCCTATTATCCAGAATCCATAAGCAACCTAAACAAATCAACAAGCACAAAATAAATAATCTTCATTAAAAATGGGCAAATGACATGAACAGACACTTCTCGAAAGAACACATATAAGTGGCCAACAACCAGATCAACAAATGCTTACCATTGCTAATCATCAGAGAAATGCCAAACAAAACATCAATGAGACACTATCTCACACCAGTCAGAATGATGACTTTTGTTAAAAAAATCAACAAAACAAAAAACACATGCTGGGGAGGCTATGGAGAAAAGGAAACACACACTATTGGTGGCAATGTAAATTAGTTCAGCTACTATGGAGAGCAGTTTGGAAATTAGGAACTAAGAATGACCATTGGATGCAGTAACCCCATTGCTAGACTAGGGGTATACCTAAAGGAAAATAAATTACTGTAACAAAGAGATGCATGCACATGTATGTTCACTGCAGCACTATTCACAATAGCAAAAGCATGGAGTCAACCCAGGTACGTCTAAGGTAGATTGAAAATTCAGGTAGATTAGAAAATTTCATATACCATGGAATACCATGGAGCCATACAAAGAACAAAATCATGTCCTTTGCAGAACATGGATATAGATGGAATCCACTATCCTAAGCAAACTAATGCAGAAACAGAAACCAAGTATCTGATGTTTCACTCATGTGGGAGCTACACACTGGGTGCACATTGTCATAAACAGTGGGAACAATAGATACTGGGAAATAAGAACGGGGAGGGACAGAGTGGGCCAGGGTTGAAAAACTACTTTTTGGATCTTACACTAGCTGCCTGTGTGATGGGTTCAATTGTACTCCAAACCTCAACGTCCCTCAGTATACCTTTGGAAGAAACCTACACAGGTAACACCTTAATTTAGAATACAAATGAGAAAAAGAAAAAAGTAACAAGAAACATTTACTGTAAGAAAGTTTACTATAAGTAGAAAACAGAAATATCTATGTAAGAAAAAATTTATTGAAGTAAAAAAATGTATTAAACTTTTATAAAGGGCAGCGTTTTACTAAGAATTTTAAAGCAATACATTCATTGCAAAATATAACTTTAATTGTTTAACCTTTGTGCTAACAAAACACCACATTTCTAAAATTACATATATGCAATAGACCAATATGAACTGTATTTTTCTCAGATAAATCTGAACAGCATTACACAGATACATTTTCTATTATCTAAACTGAAAATAAGTAGAAATTTTACTTTATTTGTATGAATATTTTTCTATTTTAGCAAACTTCAAGTTATGTCTAGCCATTATAAATACTAAAGGCCACATTTTGTAAGTGATATCTTATTCTGATAATAATGTCTCTTGTTTAACGTAAACATTATTTTTTTAACTTATTTTAGATGGAACTGGACTGCGTACAACAAACAGATAAAGAAAAAGAAGTATGCTGACAAAATTTATTAATCAAATGTAGGTTTACTTCAGACATAAAGCATAAATAGCAAATGGCATTTCTTTTCATTGTTGGGGTTGGTCAATACTACGTTAAGTATCTTTTTCTTACATTTTATGAAAGGTGTGAAAACAAAAACGTTTACCGTGAAGCAAATACTTATGCACCATTAATTCATTGTGTTTCACAGCTTTAAAAGTTCCCAAGAAGTCTATGCATTTCTTTTTTACTGACTGTATACTTTCTTCACTTTTGCCATACTTCTGGCACTGTCACCCAGCACACTGAAACGATTCACAGAAAACAGAGGCATCATCAGCTTCTCAGGGTTTGGTAGAGATTGAAGGCCAACAGAGACCTCAGACTCATCTAGAAATACTTAGCTAAGCAATAACCATTCACAAGCAGTCCCTTGACTGCTTATGGCAACATTTTAAAAGTCCTTGGCTTACTTTGGTCTCAGGAAAAGTTCGAAATTTTTCACAATAAAATAAACACACCCAGGTCAACAAGATCTTTGTGAAGTTATTCAGCCTTGTCTCTTGCCAGTTACTGCACTCTGGTTTTTGCTCTAGCACCAAATTCTATGGAGCAGAATTCTGCAGGGCTCTTCCCCACCACAAGCTCTTTGCCTTCACCTCTTCCCTCTATCCTTGTCCCTCAGGTATCAACCTATGTAACTCGTCCACCAGAAAGCCTATGATATTGACACAAAACTGACCTAGATATCCCTTCTGTGTGTTCCAGTAGTGCCCAGCTGTATACCTGTCATAGTGTCTGTGACTCTATATGGTCGTTGCCTGTCTGTCTGTTTTTTTTTTTTGTTGTTGTTTGTTTGTTTTGTTTTGTTTTTTAGGTTATAGCTTAGGTTTGTTGAGAGGTGGACCATACCATCTTCATCTTGTAATTTCAGTGCTCGTTTTAGTACCTTAGCAAGTGGCTGTTGAGTACATGAATGAAGAATGAAAAAGCTCTGATATTTAACCACAAACATAATTAATGCCATATTTAAATTATTTAATGGTAATTTTGTATTGTAATTATACATACATATTTCTCATTCTTATTAACTCTGACAAAATTCTCAACTCTTTTGTTTTTAAACTTACCTTTAGTTAACTGAAATGCTTTAGGTAAAGAACGGAATTCTTTATTTATCTTTCCAGCTGTTGCTGTGATGGACACTTGCTCCCATCTCCTTTCTTCTCTCTTACCCACTGGTAAACCACATCTAATGAAGACAAAATCTAAACCATAAAACCGTAAGGAAAAATTTTATGATTTAAAAGATCATAAAACTTTATTAAACTTTATTACTGGGCTGTTTATATGACATTTTAATTGTTTCTCATAAAATATATAACATCACAGTCTTTGCTAAAGTAGAATATTTTCATAACACATGTATGATGAAAATTTATATAGTATTTTAAATGATGTTTTTTAGCCTCCTTAAGTTTTAAGTGGACCCTGCAAACGAAAACCAGTATGACTGAGTTTGACATACTCAAATTACCCAAATGTCAACTGTTTAAACAGCCAAATGACCAAGTCATCCTTGATACTTATAGTAAATGTCATTGACGGCTTATTTGCATTTTACACTTTTTGTTACTCTGTATAGCAGGAGACTTAAGGAGTACCTGCCAGGTTTGTCCATGGGAATATTACGATTTCCTTTTTGTAGTTCAACAGTATTTTGTGTGGTGATACTTTGAGGCTCCCTAAATGTCTGGTTACTCCTCAAAACCCACTAGATTTAGCATTTCATGGATGACTTGTGTTTGAATAATTATTACTATGATGGTTGCCAGATGATCATTTTCTTATTATTTTCTTATTTCTCGTTTGTTCTACATGGAGAAATAAAACCAATAAATAAGGGAGAAGGGAAAGCTCATGATTCTGGTCCTCCAATTCCCCAAGATCAGGCCAGTGGTAGACATTTCAAGCTAACTTTGTGTCTTTTTGATCTGTCCCCATTATTCTGTCAGCACTTTTTAACTTTCTGGCACAAGGTGTTCTAAGCTAATCTTGTATTTTCTCTGCCCCAGCCCTGGAATGAGCGATTTTTCTTAGAAGCAGAGCTGGAGCCACCGAGGAAGCACAGGCGAGCCTTCCCCAGCACATGCTCACTGGTCCCAG